CAGCCCCCTCCCTCAGACCCAGGGTCCAGGCCCAGCCTCCTCCCTCAGACCCAGGGGTCCAGGACCCAGCCCTCCTCCTTCAGACCCGGGGGTCCACCCCCAGCCTCCTCCCTCAGACCCAGGGTCCCCTGGAGTATAGCTGGCCTTAGAGGACTGTGACTGGTTGATGGTGTTGGAAATGATGCTGAAGATGGTGCGGATGGTGATACTGGCCTTTCCTGGTGGGTGAGAGTGGACTAAGCCCTTGGAGAGGAGCAGAGCCAGGCCCACATGTGGGAGGGAGCAGAGGAAGGGAGTTGCTCCTACCAGAAATGTGGACTTGGGTGTTGGACTTGTCAGGGTGGACATCTGGGTGGGACCTGTAGGAGCAATATTGTGGGACTTTGGTGGAACCCGAGCCAAAGACCTGCTCCATGTGCTGCCCCCCACCAGCAACAAGCCTGCACCCACTTCTCCTTGGCTTTCTTCTGATCGCCTGCGTGATCCAGCTGGGACCAGACGAGAGGCACGGAGTCACCCACAGCCTGAGACTTGAATCTTCGCTTGAGGGCCTAGAAGTGGGTGGAGAGAGACAGTCAGAGAAAGGGCAGCCCCATCCCAGTGCCCGGCCCACTGGCCTGCCCAGTGGGCTCACCTTGGTCTTCTTCTTCTTCTTCTGAGAGGCCAGCATCTTATAAGGAAAGGTGGGCTCAGGGACTGCCCCTGGAGAGAGAGCTGGAAAGAGGTGGAGAGAGCAGGGTCAGGGCAGGGCATGGGGACAAGGCCCTGAGGAGAACAAGCAGGGCCCACCCAGGGGAGAGGAGGGACAGGCCAAGTGCTGGCGCTTCCACAGGGAAGGCACCTGGCCCGTCAAGAAGGGCCTAACAGGTGGCAGAGCCTGCTTACCTGTCTGTCTGATGTGGGCCTGCTCCTGTGGACAGGGAGGGGGCAGTCAGGAGGGGTCACAGGCCCTGGTTCCACACTTCCATTGCCCACCCAGCCAGCAGTCTCATCCCCAGCCCCTCCTCCCTCAGACCCAGTGGTATGGACCCCAGCCCCTTTGCTGGGACCCTGGGACTTTAGACCCTAGGTCCCAGCCCTCATGGAGTTGGGACTGTGGTTCTCCGGAACTTTCTGCCTGAGATCTGAGTGTTAGGGCCCCACCTGGAGGTGCCAGGTAGAAGCAGGCGCTGTGGCCAAGGACATGTCCAGGGGGGGTGTTTGCAGGGTCCTGGGGGCCCAGGTGGTGGCAGGCTCCCGAAGCAAGTTGATGAGGCGGATCCAGCGGTTGAACAGGAAGCCCACCTCATGGTCGGGGGCGTCTAGCTCCAGGTAGTAGCAGCGGCCAGTGACCAGGCGCAGTTTCAGGCGCCAGGAGGACAGGTCATGGACGTATAGGTGGACAAGGTCTAGTGGGATCATCCTGGGGAGGCAGAGACAGCCAGCTAGAGCTGGGGGTGGGGGAGGGTGTGGCAGGGATGGGGGCAGGAAGGCACCTGGTCAGAAGGAGGCCGGAGGCGTCCTTGCCCTCTGCGGGCTGAGCAATCAGCAGGATGTCGGGCAGCATCAGGCCTGGCAGGGAGGCAGCCACGCCCATGGTCAGCCGGTTGGCTCTGTGATGCACGAACACGGGGCCCCCACGATTTGTTACCTGGGGTGGCCAGGGAGAGGGGCTGGAACCGATCCTTTCTCCAACACTCCCCTAGCACCCTCTGCCTGAGCCCCCTTCCAGCCCACTCCCCGACCCTCTTAAACCCCCACCCATGGTCTCAACCCTCCTGCCCCCTCAGCCCACAGAGCACAGGGAGTAGGGGACCTGGACAAAGTTACTCTCGAACATGGGCAGCGGGCGGAGGGGCAGGTACTCGCCCTTCTGGAGGGTCTTCTGCAGCTCCCCCAGAATAGGGACCCACTTTTGAGGGGTCTGGTGCTGCTGGGGATGCCGGATGTTCCAAAGCCGGTTCATGATGCCTGCAGAGCGTTGGGTGAGTATGAATTAGGGATCTGAGGCCCAGGACCCAGCACGCCCCTCTTCCACCCGGCCCCACTGGCCTCGGCCCCTTAGGCTTCACGGGTGGTGGGAGCTCAGTGGTCACAGAGAGTGGAGCTTCCCCAGGGCCGGGAGACTAGGGCTGTGGCCATGGCCCTGCTGGGGTGGACAGCACTGAGCTGGGGGAGGAGCCTTTGGTGGAGGGCTTTGTGACCTCAACAGACACACAGGGGACTCTTCCTGGGAACTCTTCAGGAGCCCTGTCCTCCAGGGGTATGACCTGGAGTCTTCAGGGTGGGGATGGGTGAATCAAAACCCCTGACCCAGGGTGGGGTCCAGACCCATTGCACCCTCCAGAGCTAAACCTGTGACCAAACAAGGCCCCTGGGGGGTGGGTGTCTGGCTACTGTAAGGGGACCATTAACCAAAGGAATGAGAGGCCCGCCAGCTCTGCCCCTGGCCTGCTCTAGTCCCTGTGTAAGACCCAAACTCACGCTGAGCCTCAGTCTCCTCACGTCTAACTGTGTGGGCCACGTCAATTGTCCCTGTCACCAGGCTGTACAGAGTGGGATGCCAGCCAGCTTTGGAATGAGTCCAACCAGACTACCATCAGTTTCATCCCCTTGGCTGTGTGACTGCGAGGAATGCACCCCACAAACCTCCATTTCCCTCACCTACGCGGTGGGGCATGTTCCAGGGTCCAGGGGGACCAGCTAAGAGCCCACAGGCAGAGCACAGCCCAGGGCTGCCGCTCAACCAAGGGTCTTTATTATTTAGATTTTTTTTTTGGGGGGGATGGGAAGGTAAGACTGGCATTCCATCATTCTAAAAATAGTGTTTATTATTATTTTAAAATGTGTCATGCAAAATACAGTCATGGTAGAAATTCTGGAAAATACAGACAAGAGCAAACAATGAAAGTCACCCGCATCCCATCCCTCACTTCCACCTAGCCAGCCACTGTCAACATTCTGTGTGTTTCCCTCAGTGGTTCTGCATCCTGCTGTTTCAGGCCACAGGGCATCTTTGGGTGTCTCAGCAGCCCTGTCGAAGCCTCCTGTGGGGCCAGGAGACACTCCATGCTGTGGGTGCCGTGCTCTAGTTAAACATCTCCCCACGGCTGGGCATCTAAATTATTTCCAACTTGTCATAGGAAGCAATGCCAAAACGAACAGCCGCCAGCCCGTAGCTCTGCCCCATGCAGGTCCTGTCAGTCACAGGGTAACCTTCTGGAACCTTCCATGAATTATTTATTGAACACCTTAAAGTACTGGGCACCAGACAAGGCCCAGACCCATGTTTCCTTAGAGTTCTCTGAGTAGCTGACCAGTCTCCCCTCCCCTGCTCTGCCCACTCAGGACCTCCGCCTCCCCCTGCACCAGGGACCCTAGCATCCAGGCCCCCAACCCTCAAGAGAATTCACCTCTAAGTGCATAGGTATGACAAGTTTAATTCCCCATTGTCTCACAAAGGTTTCTCACATTTTTGTATAAAAACCCAGGCTTCCTTCCCCCCTCCCCACCATAACATAAAAAGTAATTGTTTAATAAATAATATACGCTCCTGCCCAGGCCCCCGAGGGGCAGAAGCCAGGAAGACACTGTGGAAAGATTTCTTAGAGATCCAAGAATCCAGGATCCTGGTTCCCTTCTCCTTAGTCCACCTGCCTCCCACCCCCGACTCCTTAAATAAATAAGTATAAATAAGGCACACATGCCCCCCACCCAAGTCTCCTGGAGGGACTGTGTCTAACTATGGTGGGTAATGAGAGGGGCCGTCCCTGCCCTCACACCCGAAGTACTGAAATAAATAAATAAATAAGATGTGGCTTTTAAGGACGATGGTGGCTTTAGGTCCCAGGTCATAGCCGAGTCTTCAGCAGCAGCAGCCCCCGAACGGCCCAGTCCAGGGTCAGGTGCAACCCCCCTAGGATGGCGTGAGCCGCCCTGACGCCTCCCCAGGCTGAGGCAGGTGGGGCTAGGGGAGGCGCTGGTGGGTCTGGGGCTGACTGGGGCAGGGCCAGGCGGGACATCTGTCAGGAGGGGACAGAGGTGAGAAAAAGGTAAGGCATGTGGTGGAGGTCTGGGGAAAGGGGATATTTCAGGGCATCCTGGGGGCATATTTGCAGTCTCTGGTATGTGAGATGGGGGGTTAGGGAAGGAAGATCAAAGGTTGTCATCTTAAGGTCGGCCTCCAGGACCCCGTTTTGAGGACTGGGAGAGAGGTCTGTAAAGCTGGGGCTGGGATCCTGGTGCTTTCTAGTGAGGGCTGGGGCCTCTTGGGTAGTCAGTGCTGGAATTTTGGAGCTAGGTCTCTAGGGTCTGTGCACTCAAGTCTGGGGTCAGGCCCAGGATCTCAGGGCTATAGTCTCAGATGTATTGTCTCTAGGACCATCATCCTAAAAACAGGGTTTATTATTTTTAGGGACTCATTATTCGGGTCTCATGGGTGGGCTGGGGTCTCAAATCTGGGATCTCAGAGCTAGGAGCTAGAATTAAAGGTCTGAGGTCTTAGGAGTCACCCAAAGTCTTCCGGTCTCTTTGGGGCTTTGGAGGTCAGGCCTCACGGTCTTACACAATCAAGATCTGAGATTGAGATATTTTTGACCGTGGAAGAGAGATATGGGGTCCCAGGCTCAGGGTCTGGGGCCCGCAGGTTTGAGACCTGGGGGTCTCAGTACTTGAAATCTGGTCTCAAGGCTGGCTGGGTCAGGGTGGGTCAGGGTTGCTCAGGGTTAGGAGCTCTGGCTGGGACTTTGAGGGTCACTGCCTGGGGACTAGGGTGTCCAAGTCTGGGGGTAAGGATTTAGATTCTCAAGTCTCCCCCATCCTGGGGACCTTGGGTCTTGGGGTTCTCTGAGTACAAGGTCTAACTTCAGGACAAAACCACAGGCTCTGAAGTCTCAGTCTCAGGGTCTGGGACCCTGGGGACATGAGGGGGCTCAGGGTCTTGGGGTGAGAGTTTGGGGCTTGGGGGAAGTATTTTGGGGTCTGGGGTCTCAGGGCCAGGGTCTCAGAGCAGAGATCAAGTTTGGGGTCTGAGTTTCTAGGGTCAGCCTGGGATCCTGATATCTCAGGATTCAAGGTCTTGGGCTATAGGTTCTAGGGATCTCAAGGATCAGGGTGGGTGGTGTAAAATCTGGGAGCTAAGGCATACCAGGAGCTGCAGCCGTCGCAGGAGCCGGTCCAGCCGAGCCTGCAGAGCACCCAGCTCGGGTTCCAAGGTCTTCAAGGAAGGGCCACCAGCCCTGCGCAGCCACTGCACGTGCCGCAGGTAGGAGAGCAGATCAGCTCGAAGCCTAGTCAGCACGCCTGGCAGCTGGGAAGCAGGCTGGGGCATCAGGACACAGCTGGTACATGCCTGTGCAGCCCCCAACCCCCTGACCCCCAAACCCCAGTCCTTACCTGCAGCGCTCCCAGTGCTCCTGCACTCATGGCCAAGGTGGGCAGGGACTCCAGGTTGTGGTCTCCTTCTGCAGGGAATTTGTCTCTCTGGTGGGAAAGAGGCTTTGAGTAGCTTCCTATTCCCCACCTCTGGTCCCAAACTCTCTCGGTCCCCGCCATGCTGGGTGCCTAGAAGCTCTCCAGGTGGCATACTGGAAGACTCCCCCCGCCCCCGACTCTCATATCTGTCACTGCTCCAGCCCATTCCCTCCAGGCTCCTACCAGCTGTGCGGCCAGCTGCCGAGTGTCCGCCAGGAGGGAGCGTGTCAAGAGCACCGCACTGTCCAGGTCTGCCCGAGGGTCTGGGGGAACTCGAGGGGGACCAGGAGGTGGCCCAGGGGCAACAGCTCTATCTAACCGGAGGCTCAGCACCACCAGGACCAGGTGGCAAACACCTGAAGGCAGGAGGGCACAGAAGGCTCAAGCTGGACCCGGGGTCCGAGGGGAAGGCTGGGCTCCGCACTCCCGGTTCTCGCCAGGAGGGGCTGAGGTCCTGAGTCTCTGGGTGGAGCGCCCGGGGGCAGTTTGCAGGGCCCAGGCGGGCTTCCCTCTCCCTCCCTGACTCTGGCTGCCCCGCCCGTCGGAGCAGACGCGGCCCGGGGCGGGTAGACGGGCCGGGCGTCTCCCGTCCGCCCCCGGACGCCGGAATCTGGGCCCCGGGGCGGGGCATGAGGGGGAGGCACAGGCCAGAACCTGCCCCCTCCCCGGCCCGGGAGCCCAGCAGGCTGGGAGCAGGGGAAGGAGCCAGGGGCTCGCGCTGAGACCCGGACCCACCGACCCCTCCCCCGGGAGGGCTCCGAGGTCCCCAGCTAGGCCCGCCAGAGTGGGCGCGGGAGGCTGGGCCGCAGCGCGGGGCAGGACTCGGGCGCACCTGGGCGGCGAGGTACTGAGCGACGCGCACCGCCAGAGACGGGCGCTCCCGGCTCGGGGGCTCCGGCCGCGCGCTCGCCGGCTGCCCATCCCCCAGCTGCCCCGCCCACTCCCGCGATCGCCAGCCAATCAGCGCCCCCCGGCCCTCTGCGCTCCCTTATCACACCCCCAGCCCGCCCCCTGGTCCCCTCTGGCCGAGGTCCATCCTCCCGCCCCTTCCCGGCCGGCGGTCTGTCGGTGCGTCTGTCCTGCATGTCTCTCCGAGCTTCTTTCCGCACTCCTGGCTGTCTCTGTTCCCCTGCCTGGGACCCGTGCTCCCAGGATTGCTCTCATGTTCTAGGACTCTCTGCCTCAGTTTCCCTCGCTGAGCCTCCGTCGGGGTCCCCGGGCTCTTTGGGATCCCTCTGTCCCTGTCTGGCCTGTCCGTCTCTGCTGTCTGATTTGCCCTTTCATCTGTCTCTCTGCTCATCTCTCCTCTTGGCTCCTACTTTCTCTGAATATTCTTTTTCTCCGTCTCTGACTCCCTCTCTCCTCTGTCCTCTGTCCCTCCCTCGCCGGTGGTGCCTCCCTCCCTCCCTGTCCCCTCATCCCATGAACTGGAACCAACTTACAGTTCATGTCCCCACAGGCCAGGGGTTCCCCAAGGCAGGGGGCAGGGAGCCCGGGGCCTTTAACCCTTCCCTGTCCGCTGCCAGGGGAGCCCCGGGGTCAGCTGGGCTGCGGCCTGGGGAGGGGAGGCATGTGCGTGTGAGCAGCAGGGGCCGCGGCAGTGAGGGAGTGTGTGCGCCTGGGGGGTTATATAGGGGGCCGGGGCGGGCGGGCGGGGGGCAGGCGGCTGGGGAGGGCGGCCTGACACATCCTGACTCACCCTCCCTCCTGCCTTTTCCATTCAGACGAGCCGGCTGCCTAGCAGGGCTCACACCGCCTTGCTCGGAGGAGGGCACGGAAGAAAAAGTTGGAAAAGTTGAAAAGTGAAGGGGGGGGTGGTCGGAGAGGGGCTGGTGAGGTCATTGGCGTCCCCTCCCTCCACCTCCACCGCCAGGGCAGACACATGTGGCTCAAGAGCTGGGGCCCGCTGTGGGTGGGGGTCTGGCTGGACCAGGAAGGGCAGGAGAGGCAAGCCACAGGCCTGGGGAGATGGAGCTGGGAGGAAAGTCAGGGACGGAGAGAGAGATGGGGCACCAGGACAGAGATGGAGACAGAGGAGAGAGACATACCAGGAGATGGAGAGGTCAGGGCGGGAATGGAGGCTGGCCGGAGCAGACAGGGAAACTGTGATGCAGCAGACACCAGGAATGAGGGGACACCAGGAATGAGGGGACACCAGGAATGAGGGGACACCAGGAATGAGCGCCCAGAGCCTGAGGGAATCAGCCATGAGGCTCAGGAAAGTGTGAAAGACATGACAACTGCAGGGACCCTCTGTCCTCTGTCCCTGTTTCCAGAGAGCCCAGGGGAGAGAGGACCAGGACCTGGAGGTTCGCAGACAGGAGGCGGCTGCAGGAGAGAGAGTGCGGGACACTGGGCAGGCAGTGACCCGGAGCCAAGGAGACAGAGTAGAAGAAGGTGTGGAGATGGGGGCGCTCAGCAAGGGGACATGACAAAGGCAGGGAGACACTGGTCTAGAAAAGACCAGAGACAGAGCCAGGTGTTGTGCAAAGGCGGGCTCTCTGTGCCTCAGTTTCCTCCTGTGTGAAGCAGGGGTAATGAGGGCACCTCCACCCTTGAGCACACAGAGATAATGTGAGCTCATCCACCCACATAAAGCACAAAGTAGCACTGGACAAATGTCAACCACCGCTCCTGCCATTGCTCCATTTCACTCACAGTCCAGAGAGACAGAGATGAGCCCAACAGACAGTGGTGAGTGGGTGAAAGGGAACAAGCGGGACAGGGACACCCTAGAGCAGGGCCAAGGTGCTGGAGAACTGAAGGATGTCACACAGAGATGGGAACAAGACAGGTGTCCAGGCAGGAGAGGGACACACAGCATGAGGGAACATAGCAATGCAGTTGGTGACACCAGAGAAATGGGGTGGGGGGCAGGGTGGCCCAGGATTCACAGCCCCAAAGGGAGAGACAGAGACTTCAACCCGTGTTCCCCGGAGTCTCCTCCCCAGATGGAGATGGCAAGGAAAGATGGGATCCGACTGAGCACAGGGATAGGACTTCCAAACGTCTCTGCAGACCCCCAGGCTGGCCTCCCAGACTGCGCTGCATGGGGGGGGGGAGGACTTGGGGCTTGAACGAAAGCTGAGGCTCCCCCTCCCCATCCACCCCACTGGGGGAACTGCTCAGGTCTCTCGGGAGATGAGGTCACAGCCCCCCACAGTGGGACATGACCTCATCTCCTCAGGTAAGTTTTCTCTCTCTTTCTAGGTCTGTCATGGCCACCCCTTCAAGCGCCCCCCAGGGGCCCTGCCCAGCCCTGGCTCCCACTGGGACCCGCGCCTCTGACCATTGGGTCTCCGCCCCTCAGGGGGCCTGTTTCCGGCTGAGTCAGCGTGGGGGGCCCAAAGCTGCGTCAGTGAGGGGAGAGCTGACGTAGCCCCCCCCAGACCGGCAGGGCCAGCCAAGGTGACTCAGGCCACCAGCCTGGGGGATGGACTGGCCTGAGGGGATGGGGGACTGGGCCTGGGGCCAGCCCTGGAGCAACACAAGGGATCTGGGAATGCCAGCCCTTCCACCCACGGGGATCCAGGAATCGCACCCCAGCCCCCTCTCCTCAGACACAGGGGTCCAGACCCCCAGCCTCCGCCGTCAGACCCGGTCCAAGCCCTGAACCCTTGTTTGAAGATAGGTGGAGGAACATTTGGGGCCCTTCTGCACTCTGTGGAGAAGGTCACAAGTCTGGGTCAAATGAGGGGTCCCCGGCTGGCATCCGTTTCTAGTCCTGCCTTGGTCCTCACCCTGGGGGGTGTGGCATCAGACTTGACCCCCTCAAGGTAACTGCAGGAGGGTGGCCTTGTGCTTGGGTCTTCCCGGCGCAGGGTGGGGACACCTTGGGCTACTTCTATGGAAACAATAGCGAGAGACCAGCCTGGGGAACCCCAAGAATGACAAATGACAGAGCAAGTACAAATGGAGATGGGGCCACCAAGGCCAGAGTAAGACCCAGACACAGGAAGAGATGGGTGCCAGGGAGACCAGCGTGGGGGGCGGGGTCCGCCACAGACTGGGGAGCAGGCGGAGAAGCCCTCAGGTGCTCACAGACTTGGGGGAGGTGCCTCCGCTCTGTGGGGTGGGCTGGGGGTCCTTGCTGTGCTGGCCCTGGGTGAGGTCCCGCTGCCTGCGTGTGATGACTGCAGCTCCCAGGCTGTGTGTGTCTGTCTGTCCCTGGGGGGTCCTGTCTGGCCTCTGGGGGTGACGGGGCAGGCCAGCCACAGAGGCAGCCCAAACCTGTCATTAGCGGTGAGGGCCGTGACAACTGGGCCCCCCAGTCCAAGCCGCGGTCCAGGGCCAGTCAGCCCCACCCCCCACCCCCTCCTTGATCCCTGAGGAATCCCGGGAATTGGGAAGTGGGTCCAGATGGTGTTGACACAGGAAATGGTCAGCAGCTGCCAGGCCTCAGCCCCACAACCCCTCTGACCCCCACCCCCGGCCCCCTGCCGAGCCCCTCTGACCTGTGTCATCTCTGACGGAGGCAGCCAGGGCCCACTCAGCACCCAGGAGGATGTTTACGGGAGACACGGGTATGACCAGGAGTCAGCCCGCGGCTTTTTGGGAAATGGGATCTGGAGTTGGACCCCTCCTCCCTCTGACCAGGACTCCAGGCCCCAGCCCTCCTCCTCCTGACCAGGACTCCAGGGCCCAGCCCTCCTCCCTCTGACCAGGGGTCCAGACCCTAGCCCTCCTCCCTCTGACCAGGGGTCCAGACCCTAGCCCTCCTCCCTCTGACCAGGACTCCAGGCCCCAGCCCTCCTCCGTCTAACCAAGAGTACAAACCCTAGCCCTCCTCCCTTTGTCTGGGAGTGCAGACCCCTGCCCTATTTCCTCAGACCCAGGAGTTTGGACCCCGGACTTCCTCCATCCCGCTGGCCAGAACTCCAGACCCCAGCCCTCCTCCTCAGAGTCAGGAGCTCTGGGCCAAAGCCAGAACACCAGAAGTCACTGAGGTTCCCTCCGCACTGTGCCGAGTGGTCACAGAGACAGGATGGACTAGGGATGGGTCCCTACCAAGTCCCTAATCTGGCTTCCCCTCGTGGGAAACCTGGCCCCTTGACGGTCATTGTGGACAGGAAGAACAGCAGTGGCACTTGAGAGTCTCCAGTGGACATTCTCCTTTTACAGGTGGGGAAACTGAGTCTCAGGTGGACATGGGCCCCTTGCTCTTGAGGCACCTGACAGCCGCTGAGCCCCTCAAGCCCCCTGTCTTCAGGGCCTGGACAGCCCCAGGCCTGGCCACAGGTTCCTAGAGGCCAGCTCTGGCTGGAGCTGGAGAGCCCTCTAGGGTCCTCCCGGCTGGGGCTCCGTGCAGTCTCCTGGTTGCTGCGGAAACCTTCCCTAACAATGGGGCTCAGTGAGACCCTCCTCCCCTGTGCCCGCGGCCCCTCCCTCTGGTTGCTAAGGGGACCGACTCCCTAGCCACGAGGTTTCCTGAGCCTGGGCCACCAGAGGCTGCCTTCCCCGGCCCGGTCAGGGAGGAAGGGTTCCACAGCACGGAGGACCCTCCCTCCCTTCCGTACGGGGTGGGCTGATGAGAGGGAGGCAGCCAGCCCTGGGCGCCGGCCCGCCTTCTCCTTCCCCCTGGAGTTCCTCAGGGGGTTCCCTAAAGTCCAGAGGTGCCCCACACACCCGCCTCGGCCTCCTGGGGGCCAATGGAGTCCCTCTTGCCCAGACATGACAAGGCCTTGGGACTCTCCCTGCCAAGCCCTGGCTGAGGGGACTCCCTAGCAACAGAACACAGAACCCTGGGCTTGGGGCAGCAGGGCGGGGCTGGCCGTTGCTTGGTGATGACCTTCCAGGCCATTCCCCACAGAGGCCCCAGGGCTCTGGGCGGTAACATGGTGGGCTCAGGGATCCCGGCGTTGGGCCTTTTCCTGCTGATGCAGGGCTCAGTAGGTGAGGGGGCTCTTGAGGCGGTCAGGGGCTGAGGAGCCGGCCACCCTGGCCTCCATACAGGCCCCCGACACCACCCTTTTCTCTCACAGATGGGAATGGAATCCAGGGATTCTTCTATCCATGGAGTGAGCCGGAACTGAAATCCTGACACCCCAAGGGAGAGGGACCCCAAATTAGAGCTTAGGGTCTAAAAGGGAGGAGGGCTGGGGTCCAGACTCCTTGGGCTGAGGGAGGAGGGCACCTGGACCCTGGGTCTGGGGGAGGAGGCTGGGCCCTGGGTCTGGGGGAGGAGGCTGGGCCCTGGGTCTGGGGGAGGAGGCTGGGCCCTGGTCCTGTACACCAACACTGGGCAGGCGGTGCCCATCCTGGCTGGGCCCTGTCTAGCCTGAGGCCAGCTTTCTGAGTTTGTGCCTGGTGTGGTTCCCCAGGCTGTGAGGGAGATGTGTGGGATAGGGAGAGCTGTGGGGGTCAGGCGGCCATCGAAAACCCCAACCTCTGTCTGCGCCTTCGATGCTGCTACCGAGATGGCGTCTGCTACCACCAGCGTCCGGATGGTGAGTGGCCAGGAGGAGGGTGCAGGGACCTGGGGCTGGTGGTGGGCGGAGCCCAGGGACATCAACCGACCCCTTTGATGCAGAGAACATGCGCAGGAAGCACATGTGGGCCCTGGGCTGGACCTGTGGTGGCCTGCTCTTCCTGATCCTCGTCATCTGCCTGTTCTGGTGAGTAGGTGGGGCTCAGTGGACACCTGCCCCCCCAGAGCACAGGCTGGTGGCCAGGCTGAGCACAGGTCCCCTCCTCTCCAGGTGGGCCAAGCGCCGGGACATGCTGCACCTCCCACCGTTTCTGAAGGGCAAATGCGACCTGTCGAGGACAGTTTCGCTGCTGTCCAAGGACCGAGCGTCAAACGAGAAGAAGTCATCTGCAGGCAGCATGCAAACCCCTGGGGAGGGCGGGGAGACGGAAGGGGAAGCGACGGAAGGGGGCGAGGAAACAGAGGAGGGGGGAGACTAGGGTCCTCCCCGGGGGACCCTTCAATATAGATATGGCATCTAGGTGTGTGTCTCGTTTCTGGGGGCTGCGGGAACAGGTGACTCAGTGTGGACCTGGGGTAGGGTGCATGTGCTTGAGGGAGACTGAGGGTCAGACCTGAGACTGGGAGCTGTGAGCATAGGGGTGCGCCCAAGGGGGTCTGGAGTGACAGCATCCTGGGGGAGTGGGCCGACCTGAGCTCAGTGGCCCAAGGCTGAGGGGCACAGGCCTAGGGGGCTGCAGCGAACCTGAGGTGGAGCTGGGATGAGTGGGGGCTGCGGGCCACCTAAGCAGGACATGGGGAGGACGCACACAGCCATGGAAACGTGTCCCCAGCTGTCCTGCTGTAGTGGAGTGACTGGCCAGTGCCCCCTCCAGCCCTGTGGGCTGCTCGCCCCCAAGGCTGAGCTGGGCAGGGCACCAGTGCGGCAGAACATGGGCTTTCCCCAGTGGACAGCTTTGGCTCCCAGGCTCCCCACCGGCTGGTGAAAATTCCTGTAGAAGTGTGCGGCCGTGGGAGACTCCTGCCCAGCTGGCCTGACCCCTGCCTTGCGTGTTTCACCCAGTACACATCTGAAAACCCAAGGTGCCTGTGTCTGCCTCGGAGAGGACCCAGGCCGCCTTGGGGTGCCAGGCGGAGGCAAGGGTCTGGGCTTGAGGTCCTTTCCTTCACCGCTGCCCTCTGATGCCTTTGGGCTTCCATCCCACTCCAGCACAAGCCCCTCTCCCAAACAGGCAAGTGGTATTGTAAGGCAGAGCTGTTTATCCGAGTGAGGACACTGGGGACAGACGGGCGCACTGGTGGTCAGCCGGGGGAGGGGCAGCTGCACTTCTCAGTGGTGTCCTGACTGGTGTCCTGACTGGCGAGGTCATCTGTAGGAGGGAGGGTGGGGTTAGTGACTGCTCAAGATTGCCTCCTCTCCATCCCAATGTCCTGGGCCCCCTACCAGTGGCAGGGGTGGACGCAGGGAACCCCTCACACCCTGGCGCACATCCTGGCTCATCTGTGTCTCCCTTCCTGCTGCAGACCCCAGTGTGTGCACGCATGCGCGACTATGTGAGCCTTCAGCTCACTGGAATTCATAGGACCAGGGAGAGGCAGAGGAGAGTGACAGAGGCGCAGAGACAGAAAAGGACCTGGAGACAGAAGCAGAGGTGAAGAAAGCAGAGATAGAGAGGGGGGAAATAATGGCGGGAGGGTGGCTCTGCCCTTCTCATTCTGGCCTCAGAGGGATAGGGGTGCTGTGGAGGTAGAGCGTGTCCTTTGTCAGAATTCAGGTTTGGGCTGGAGATGCGATGGTGTGGCACACATCTATGATCCCAGCGACTGGGGGGGCTGGGGCAGTGCGATGGCACGTTCAAGGCCAGCGACTTAGAGAGACCCTGCTCATAACCAAAAAATAAAAAGGGCTGGGGATGTAGCTCAGTGGCACAGTATTCCTGG